GAAGATGAGATGCGTCTTAGCGGGGCACGAGGATCCACAGGCCGACGAGGGCTAGCAGGCGAAGGCCGGCCTGGTACTCATAGGCTACATCGACAAGGACCTGGGGGCGCTCAAGACGGAGTCACCGACGCCATCGAAAAGTGCGAGAATGGTGATGCACCAGATGGCGGCCAACAACGGTTGGCGGACGCTGCTTGCAGATGCTTCGCCAGCTCTTCTTCGAGGGGAAGCTGCGGGGGAGGAGGGGGGGCTCCGCGCGCTACCTGTGCCGCAACTCCGAGAAGCACTCAACCCGAAAGATGGCGACGTGGTTCAGATTCTAAAGGCGCGCTATGGACTCATCAACGCACCCCGACGTCGTCGCGAGAGTGTCAACAAGGGTCTCGAGAGCAGGGGCTGGTATTCGCGCAAGCTCGAACCGTGCCTTTCCCCGACGGTCCACTCTGAGCACAGGGTGATTTGGGCTCGTCTTATTTCGCGCGGGCGATCTCCAGATCGCGGGGGACATCGACAACGAGGAGTTCGAGTTCGAGCACGAGCATCTCGAGACACTACAGATGGGGCATGTGGAAATCGGATGAGAGGGGCGACTCTGCATGCGTCGCTGAAGTCTCTCGCAGCGAGGACGGCGTCGGCGGTGTCTAATGATTCGGGGCAGGGGAAGCGTGCGAAGACGACCCGGCCGATCAACAACAAACGCAACAGGATGTCAGACCCGGGGGCGAAGCTGACGAGCGAAGAGATCGCCGCGTGCAGGGCCATCCTGGGGCAGCCACAACGGCTTTCTACGCAGACTATGCCGCAGATCGAAGTGCACGTTTCAATGTTACAGTCCACTGTCAACAGTGCCACTGATTCGACGCTTCATAGCGTTCGAGGGCAGGCGGCAACAGCCAGGGCGGCTATTTGATATGCGCTACAGAGAAGGAGGCGCTTAGCGGCAAGATGCTGAAGTGCGCGGCGTTCACTGGAGCTTCGAAAAGTTGACCTGGAGGTGCCCATCGTCTCTCGGTGCAGAGATCCAGGCGGCCAGCGAGGCTGCGGAGGAGCTGGAGTATGCGCAGGTTGTCTGGATGGAGATGCAGAGTGCCAGGGTGCTTCTGGAGGGCGACGAGCGCTACCAGTTCATCTGCGGCGGCCACCAAGTGTACTGGTCACGGACGGCAGGAACCTCTACGATGTAGTTACGTGTTCAGAAAGCTCGGCATTCGGGCTCAGCGACAACCGTTCGGCCATCGAGTGCATGGCGCTGAAGCGGGGCACCAACGAGTGCGGCGCAGGACTTATATGGCCTCATTGTCGTGCTCATTTTGCTGATGGGTGTACCGAGATCAAATATGAGGCTCAGAAGCTGCTAGATGTCTTCATGAGCAAAGGGATCTGGACATTGGTGCAAAACCCAGAGTTCGAGTCGGCCCGGAAGCGGGGGTTTGCGTGGTCTCGACATCTTAGAGCAGAAGGTTCAACAGGACAGCGAGAACGTTTCGAGTGACTGAGGCTAGCGTGCTCGTTTCACTATACATATCGCTCGCTGTCGCGAAACGTTAACGGTTCAACGCAGTGTCATATCTATTCTCTACGCGCCACCTTCAGACTGAATGTAGTGTCGCGTCGGTCGTGCCAATGCCCCGTTCCGCTTGTGTAAATGTAGGCGCATGTTGGCCGACCGATGCGAGTGCCCAGGGACCGAATCGAGCGAGGTTTCACCGCTGTCATATCGGACCAGGGCGCCGTTGAGCCGGTAGCGAGCTACAGGTGCACATTTGATAGTGTGAGGAGCGCGCGGGGCTCACCATCCTGCCGAGGATAACCGAGACTGTTGGCGCTGCGCTGGAGAGAAGAGGTTATCACGATAATCTTTGTTACGTTTGCCTACAGCATTCACGTTCACGAGCACATCAACGGGATTTACGCCATCGCCGGCGAAGTAGGGAGGGAGGATAAGAAGAAGGAGGGCAACCAGGACGAAGACCAGGAGAACCAGGAGGAAGGCGCGATATCCCACTCCTCCCAGGGGAGACATTTAAAGGGGGCTTGGAAACCTCGAGCGTCGAGGTTCGAAGTTCGCGGTTTTCAAACGTGTTCGTTGGTTCTCGGCGGTTTTCCAGCTTCGGGGCTACTTGAATCAGCTACGCCTCGTCGAGGGTTTCCCGGGAATCGTCCCGAACAGCCAGTGGGGAACCGAGTTGTGATCCGAAAGACAGGGGGCAATGTTGGGGGGGGGGGGGCCCGATCGAACACTCATCGCATATTGGACCCCGAAACCGCTCACCCCCCCCAGGAACGTGCGGTTTCTCCATCGGGGGCCTATCCCCGATTCATCGGCGATGCATGGCCGATTCCAAATCGACGTCCCCCACCCCTGAGCCAGTTTTCCCCGATCGTTCCCTTTCGCCCTCGGGCAGTTGTTCGGGTCGGACGAGATTCGGTGGATACCCTTTCCATCCTGTCGCTATGACACGACGGATGGTTTTTGCACAGTGTTTGAATTTCTAGGGATATTTTTCCTCTTTTGTAAGGAGCTGGGCCTTCGGTCGGTCAGGCGGCTTTGTTCCCACCGTCGCCGCCCCGTCGCCGCCCGTCGTCTGGGGTTGCGGGTCGGTCTGGCGGCGGTGATTATTTTGCCGTCGCCGCCTCCTTGCCGCCCTTTTCGCATTGTTTTGTTGTGGCTTGTTTTGCTGCGCGTTGCTTTGCATTGCTTGGCGCAGCTTTGCAACGCCTTGCGCCACATCGACTGCGCCACATGGATTCCACCACCTAGAATGCACCACATTAGTGGCACCACATAGATCGCACCACATTAGTATCAAGAGCTCACTTTGTGGGGCCCACGTTGACTACATGTTTGTGCCGCGTTTGGCCTCCCAGGGCCTTCGCCAGGTCTTCAGACAGTTCAAACGCTGCAGGGTGAGAAGCCGTTCCTGGGGAAGGGGCTTTCTGGAGAGCAGCGTTGTGAAAATAAGCATGGCGGAGGATGTTTGCGGAAAGGGGGGGGATAGGGAAGGAGGGGGGGGTCACGAAAGTTGTTGCATGCAGCTGGTCTCGGCCCAGGCGCCAGGAGGCATCGGGAAAAACAGGTACGTGAGTTGATTCGCGGACCTCCCGTTGCAACTCCCTCCTTAACAAAGTCGGGGAAGAACGATTGAACGACGTAGGAACAAGGGTTCGACTTTCCCGGCACTGGTCCAGGCTAGGTGGGCTGGGGGGGGTAACGATCCGTTTTCCGCACACGAAGCGGAGTGATCTGCCCCTTTGAACCGTTTAAAACAGTTCAGGGGGGCGATTATTCGTTTTGGGTACTTGTATGCCCAAAATTTCTGGGCACGTGAACCCACTTGTACGATAAGACCGGTCAGATAAAACCCATCATCGCATCCACTTCTATCCCCCGTATCCCCTTGGCAACCGCCCCGGTCATCTCAGTATGCATGTGTTCTGGAGTCCGATGTTCTCAACACCGACGTCGCCGATACATCGTCGATGCATCGCCGATGCGATGGTGATGTATCGACGACGCCGCGCGATCCTCCGACCCCACCTGCTCCGACCCGATCTGGGAGGCCTCGTGTCCAAGACGGGGATGGGGATTTGGATTGTGTGCGTGTGGATATCGTTGCTGGGGCCATGCAATCTCCCAGAGTGCGTGGCCCGCCTACGTTTCTGTCACGTTCGTTGCCCCCCCCCCTCGTCCGTGCACATGCCTCCTGCCGTGATGCGCTAGCCGCCCTCTTTCTGGCCCTCTCTTCGGCGCACCCAGGAATTGTGCTAGAGAGAATGGGGTCCCATCGTCGCGCTTGCAATCGCCGCTGAAACCAGTTCAATGTCCCGCCCGTCCGTCAGGGTCCACCGTCCCGTCCCGCCCGTCAGTGCCCGTTGGGTCCGATTGGCCCACCCGCCCAAGACGGCTAGCCCGCCCGAACCGCCATGACCCGCCCGCCCTCCATGGCCCACCCGTCCGATCCGCCCGCTCAATGCCCCGCCTGCCCGCCCTTTCGCTTGCTTAGAAGCCCGCCTGCGCGCTCGAACGTCCCGCCTGGCGTGGTCTCACCCTGGCGGGTCTTGCCCATGTGAGTTTGCATGCAGAGAGGGATCGGGCTGCGCTCATCTAGACATGAGGGCAGGCGGGCGCAGGCGGGCGTCGAGGGCTCCGAGTACACATATTAAGTGCCTTTGGCCCAATGTGCCCCCAGGATGTCCATGGAGACCCCCACGGCCTCCAGAGCACCCCTAGCGAGGCCCAGAGGGTCCCAGGAGCTCCAACATAGAGCGAAAAGCTAGGGGCGCCTGGGGACAGGGGCACCTTGAGCACCCCCGATGAATAGCGAACCGTACGTCTACAGGTCGCACTTTGAAGAAGAATTTGGGATGGCCACCTCTGCCTGGTGCGCCGTGCTTCCTGTTGCTATGAATGAACTTGCGTGCGTGGCCCCTCGCAGCTCGCACCCTGTCTTTTGCAGCAAGGTGAGGCCTTCTGACTCGATCCGTTTTGCTGGGCTGCCAGAGTGCGACAACAACCCCGCCTGCTACTCCCGCGCAATGTATGTGGGCCTGGTTCTTTCGGTTGACCAGGCGCACTTCGGCGTCCCGCTGTTGACGTGACCGCTGTTGGCAGTGCTGTTGCGTTCGGAGCAACGGCGCGGAGAAGTGCGCGTCTGAACGTCGGACGGCGCCAGCTATGTGCTTCACCCCAGTCGTGGCTAGGCCCAAGCCAGGGAGGTGTGTCCCCAGACGTCCCCCGTCGTGATTTGTCGCAACGTTGCTTCCCAGATGTCTAGACCCTTTCCTCAGCATCAACTTTTCATCCTGAGTCGTTATCTTGACATGGCGGCGGCCCCAGGTGGCCGAAGTGGGCAAACATTGATCACCGTGACTTTTTGACAGCGCGAGGATGTCAGGGTGTGCCCCGTGCCTGGACAAGATCGGTGTACGTGTCTGGCTGGCGCGCTCAAAGCCACCCGCGCCCTGCTTGCGCCGGCGGCGCGGCGCACCCTCCGGCCAAGGTGCAGCGTCCCCGGCGGCTGCAGCAGCTACCCCGAGTTCTGGACGAGCTTGGCGGCCGGGAACGACTGCCACACCAGGGCTCTGCCGCCTAGAGGTCACGCCCACCTTGGGATGCAACTTCTGGGAGGCCTAATTCAGCATCGGCGCTGGTATCCGTGGTTGAAAGCCAGCCCAATCCGGCGCAATCCCGCTTAATCCAGCGAGTCCCGTTCAATTTGGCTTAATACCCGGCGTGCTCTGGCTTGATCTGGCTCCATTGTTCATGCTTCGCGTATCCCCACCCGACCGTAGCCCTGGCTCAAGCCCTTGGCTCAAGCCGTCTCACGGGCCTGGCTCCCTCGGGCCGGTTTTCCGTGCTCAAGGGGGCGCTCGACGCATCGCTGGGCGGGCGCCGCTTCCCTCGGGCCGCGGCCGGCTATATCCCAGCGCTGCTCGCGGCGCAGTCTGTGGCGTGGCGCAGCTCCAGCCTGCCAGGTCAGGCTTCGCTTGCGCCCACAGCGATGAAGGAGGGGATCACCGATCCTGAGATCGATCGGGGTGGCGACAGTCAGGAGGGGTGCGTCCACCTCCCCTTGAAACCCACCCCCTCGCCGATACCCCCCGGACAGCCATCGCCTCCAGACCACGGGGGGAACCAGACCGACCTCAGGACGATCGACCTCGCGGCAGATCCCCTGACCCGATTCACGGACCCTGGTGGACACCCTGGTGACGGCAGGAGCTGTTCGGCAGTCCGCCGGGAAGAAGTCGGGCAGCGACGGACAGACCCGACCGACCCAGTGAGAGCAACGGCCGTTAGCCGCAACCTTGGTAACCTTGAAAGCAATGGTACATAGGACAGCGCAGGCCCCCCGCTCCCTTCCTTCGACTCCATCTCCCCTACTCTCCCGTTCCAGCCACATGTTCCCCCGACTGCGTTCTCTCCGGGGGGGCTCGTGCGACGGCGCCGACGCGTCAGGCGCTCACTCCACGGGGGGCTTCCACCCCAGCCCCGATTGCAGAACCTCGGGTCGCAGGAATGCCTCCCCAGTTAGTGCAGACATGGACACCCACAGCGGGAGCAGGCTTCCTCAGAGAAGCGACCCCCCGGCCCCCGCAGGTGAGCGTGGCCCACGCGGTCTCCGAGGGCCGGTCCTCGATGCCCCCGCGGACACCCCTGGTGGCCAGCAGACCTTGCAATGTGAAACAGGACCCGTTAGGCCATTAGGGGATGGAATGACGGAATCAGGGGGCGCGGCACGGCCGCCCCTGGCGGCGACGGACTTCCACGGTCTGGTTCGCCCCCTCCGCCCGCGGGCGACCCTGCTACACGTGCCCTCCGACCTTCGAATCTTGACGTCCTTCCGAGCACCCCTGGCGGCCAGCTGACCTCTACATGTGAAACAGGGCCCGTTAGGCCAGAAGGGGTCGCCACTGCGACGTCGGCGGACTCTCGAGACGAAGCAGGGGCCGTCAGGCCAGAAGGGAACGCGGCATCTGCTCCATCGGCGCCCCCGACTGACACAGGGCCCGCTTGGCCAAGGGGGGGGCGGGGGCGCGGCCGCAGCGACCGGCGCGCCAGCCTTTCCGGACAACATTCCCCCTCAGGATTGTGCCTTCTCCCCCTCCATAGCGGTGCCAGGCGCCCTCTGCCCTCGTCGCCCGAGCGCCGACGCCGCCGAGAGCACCCCTGGTCGCCCGCCGGCCTCGCCAGGAGAAACAGGGCCCCACTGGCCGGAAGAAAGCGTTGTGGGGGGCTCATCGCGCGGCGCAGCAGCTCTGTGGCGACGGTTCCCTTCTGGGTCGCGCCTCCCCCCTGCCCGCAGGTGATCCTGACGTTCGCGTCCTCCGACGTCCGAGTTCCGATGCCACGCCGGGAGCCTTTGGGCAGCCGGCAGACCCCCCTAAGTGAAGCAGGGCCCGTTAGGCCAGAAGGAACCGCCATGGTTGCGCCGTCGGAGTCACAAGTTGAAACAGGGCCCGTTAGGCCAGAAGGGAACGCGGTTTCGATATTATCGGTTTTCCAATGTGAAACAGGGCCCGTCAGGCCAGGAGGAAGTCGCGGTGTCTCGAGCCCCAGCTCTTTCCCCGGCAGCCACCCAGAGCGTGAACTTCAACGGCGTCCTACGGCAGCGACCTGCGACTACCCGGGGGGCGAATCGACGAGCGGCGGCGCCCACTCTCTCGGCGGTTCTTCCGCGGCCACCAGAAGCCCGCGTCCTGGATCGGACCGCGGCGCAGTGGCAGAGCGTCCATTTCCGATGGAGATAGAGGGCCCGCCCCTGGCCTCGCCGGACGCGGTCGCCACGGCCCACCGAGCTCCAGCAGGGCCGCGCTGCAGCCGCGCCGACCCAGCGGAACCCCCAGGGCAGGAGGGCCCTCCCCGATGGACGTGGGCGGCCATCCCCCGTGCTGTTAAGGCCCAGTGAAGCGACCACCCCCCCCTCCTTAAGTTTCGTTCAGTGCGTCGCCCGAGCGTCGCCCGTGCGCCGGCCCTGGTTTGCGTCTCTGTCCCGAATCCCGGCCTCCCAGGGTGCGTGGGCGACATATGGCGCGACTTCGGAATTTCTCTGGCGATATATAGGTTTCCGACGCCGGTGCACCAGCAGCCATTTTGGCGGTCGCGGCGCACTCCTAGTTCGACTGTCCACCAACGCGTTCTGTTCCCAATTCGGCGCAAGAGGATTTGCTGGTGCTCATTGTCGGGGGCGCCAACCGTTGCTGAGGACGAAGACGCCTCGCGTTGATTGGGGGCTGTGCGTGTCGCGCCACGGCGGGGGTGACGTCGCGTCGCGCGACGCGGCGCCACTTCGCCCCGTCGCATCGCGCCCCGCACCCCCATGTCGTTTCGCGCCAATCCTCCTGCCCCCCCCCCTCTTCCTTTCTTTTCCCCTCGTCCAACGCGCTGCGCGTTTTGTCCCGTTTGCGAAATTTGTATTCAGTTCTTTTGTGTCAGGCTGCCGTCCTGTCCGCCTCCCTACTCACCCCCCGTTGTCCTTCCACTCTCCTGGAACTTCTTCTCGCCCTCCTCGCTCCCGCCGCCCCCCTTCGATCGCCTTCCATCGCTCCCGCCGCCGCCGCGCCGCCCCCGCGCGCCGCCTCCTCGCCCGTCCGTTCCCATTTCCGCCCGCCCTTCCCTCGCCTCACTTCCATCCTCTTTCCCCCCCAATGCATCGGCGGGCGAGACGTCGCCCAATTGCTGCAGCGACGGGCCGATGTTCAAAATATGACGTGGCGTGCGCTAGAAATGGATTAGTCCGTGCGCGCTGCATTTCCATGTCGTCTATTGGTCTCCTCGCGTTCGTAGTTATCACGTGCGTGTTTCGCCATTTCTACGATTGCCGCGCGCATCCCTTGATTGTTTCGCCAGCGGGCCGCGCAGTTCACGCGCCGTCAGGAGCCCGCGGCGCCCTTCGAGCGATTCGCGCGCGACCTTCGCGCGCGACCTGCGCGCGACGCGCGAACGACCCGAGCGACGCCCGCGCGACGCACGCGAGACGCGCGCGCGACGCGCGCGCGACGCACCCCGACCCGCGCGCGACGCACCCCTGCCAGCGCGCGACGCACGATCGACCTGCGCGACGCACGCGCGACGCACGCGCCACGCGCGCGACGCACGCGCGACGCGCGCGCGACGCACGCGCGACGCACGCGCGACGCACGCGCGACGCACGCGCGACGCATGCGCGACGCAGTCGCGACGTTGCCCGCCCCTAGCATTTCTCCGAGCAGCAATGCGCAATGGCCGTCGGCCCGCCGTGTTTGCGCTGTTCACAAGTGGCGGCGGCTGCGTCCTCCATTGCGCCGGGAGGGGCGGTGCTTGCCCCTGTTATTTCCCTTGTCCTTCCTCGTCGTCCCTCCTCTTTTGTGATTCCTCCTCATTCGTCCTCTCTCCTGCCTCGTCTCCCTCTCTCCTGTCCTTCTCCTCCTCCTTTCTGCCGGCCTCCCTCTGTCTGTCCCTCCCCCCTCCTCTCTCGTCTTTGTTTTTTCCCTTGCCACCCCGTGTCCCTCTTCATTTTCTTTCTCTCCTTCGGCCCCCCTTCCACGGCCGCGGCGCGTCGCTGCGAGCGGCGCCCCCGCCCTCCGCGAACGGCCCCGCCGCTGGCGGTGGAAGAGGAAGATTGCGAGGAGAAAAGGAGGGGGGGGCAGGGGCGCGAGGCGGGCGCGGCGGCAAGGGCGGCCCGGCAGGGGAATGGGGGAGGGGGGGGGAGGGCGGAGTGGGCGGGTGCTTCTGTAATGGTCATGTTGGTGATCATGGTCGCGGTCGCGTTCGTCGCCTTGGTCGCGCTGGCGGCGGTCGCGCCGCTGGTGGTGGGCGGGCTGGTGGTGGTCACGTCGGTGATCGTGCTGGTGTCGGTCGTTGTGGTGGTCGCGAGAAGCGTGGTGGTCGTGGTGTTGGTGATGGCGGTAAATGGTTTTGGTCGTAATCGTCGCGGTGGATGTGGTTGCGGTCGCATCCGTTTGTGGTGTTCGTGGCGGCAGTAGTTTTGGCGCTGGCGGCGGTTGCGGCGGCTGCGGCGGCGGCTGCGGGGACCTGCTGGCCTATCGCCAGGGTGCGTTCAGCAGCGTCGCTGCATTTGTAATGTTAGAGGGGTTTGCTGATCTGCCGAGGTAGCCCAGCGGCCGCCTTCTTCTCGCGCCAAGAGGGCCGCAGCGTGGGCGACTTTCTTTTTCCCGAAGGCGACCGGCCTTTTCAGCGGCCGTGGAGAGGGCGACGCGCGTGCGATCCGCCCCGCGGGTGTCCGCCGCGCTGGCGACGCACTCACCAAATTGCCCCCTTGCGAGGGCGACGTGCACGTTCGAGAGGGCGGCTGGCCTTTTCGGCGGCCGACGCACGGGCGGCGCACGGGCGACGAATGCGCGACGCGCCTCCTGTCGCGAAGGGGGGGGGGGGTCAGCACGCCGGTCGCTTTACTGGGCCTCATGACCCCGTGCCTATCCGACGCGGCAGCGCCCGGCAGCAGCAGCCTTGGTTTTCCGACCCCTGGAGCGACGGAACCAACAAGGGCTCCCGGGCGCCTGGGGCAGCCAGCCAACGAAGGACCCAGCCTGGACGGGGTTGCCGTTGAAACAGCGAGGCCTACAAGGAACAGTCCCGC